TAATTATTTTAAATATTACAATTTTGTATACAGAGTAAGAGAATTTTATACATTTAAAAAAAAAAAAAGTATATTATTTTTACATACAATCAGGGTCTTTTCTGCACCTGCAATTTATAATGCAAGTTTTTTTGCATGCATTTTGCAAAAGAAAATGTATAATGCAATTTTTGCATGCATTATAAAATGCAGTTGCAATTTTTAGCTGGGGAAAAAAAAGTATAGTATATATTACTACTATATTACTATTGTCACATGACCTCATTATGTTTATTTCAGTGAGGAGTGTCCAGTTATCATGTCAGATATATAAAACTAATCAGATACAAACACACTCCAGCCATCTGAACAAAGACAAGATGATTCGCTTGAGGGTTTCGAGAAGTGAAACTCAGTTTTCATATGAAGCAAGTTCAGTATGGCTCCAAAATAACAGTCTTTCGATTATCAGCATAGCGTCAGCTAATACTAGCTGCAAACCGCCCACTTAGACAGACAAGAAAGAAAGAAACAACTGAATACTTCTTGCTCAAAATCACTCATTTAATACACCAGGTCAATTTTCATACGGTTTTGTTGTTTTAAATATGTTTATATAGCTTTTATTACTTTTATGTCAGTTTTAATTTTAGTATAGTTTATTTTTATTATGTTTATATGCTTTGATATAAATATATATTTTTATTTTAGTTAACATTTATTTGATTTAAAATAACAGAAATGTTTTTGTGGTTTTAGTTTAAATCTAACCCTGGTATGATTTATTTTGAAAACAATTTTCACTCAGAAATTGTTAGTAATTTTCACAAATAATTACAACGAAATGGCAAGCAACACATTGAAAAATAAATTGTCGTCATTACATTCGTTGTTTTTTTCCAAAACACATCTTAACCACGCCACCCTATGCTCACATCTTACACAAAAACACACATGCATCACTGTACTTATATCAATAATGAAACATTTATATAAGTGATTGTTTACTTATAAATTATTAACAATAATTGCTCCAAATATGTGTATTCTGGGTGTCTTTATTCATAAATAATGAGCAGTGACTGTTTAAAGTATTTAAAGCTGAGGACTCAACAGGTGAAGCTCAGAGGAAACGCTCAAGTTCATCTCACACACACACACACACACGCGCACACACTCACAGACACACACACGCGCACACACTCACAGACTCACGCACACAGACACGCACTCACAGACACACGCACTCACAGGCACACACACTCACAGGCACACGGACACACTCACAGACACACGGACACACTCACAGACAAGTGCACACGCTCACACTCACGCGCACACACTCACAGACTCACGCACACAGAGACGCACTCACAGACACACGCACACACGCACTCACAGGCACACGGACACACTCACAGACACGCGGACACACTCACAGGCACGCGGACACACTCACAGGCACGCGGACACACTCACAGGCACGCGGACACACACTCACAGACACACACACGCGCACACGCTCACTCGCTCACAGACACGCGCACGCACACACTCAGACACGCGCACACGCTCACGCGCACTCGCTCACAGACACGCGCACTCGCTCACAGACACACGCACACACACTCACACTCACAGACACACGCACACACACTCACAGACACACGCACGCACACACACTCACAGACACACACACACAGACACACACGCACTCACTCTCAGACACACGCGCACAGACACACTCACATGCGCACAGACACACTCACACGCTCACAGACACACTCACACGCTCACAGACACACTCACACGCTCACAGACACACTCACACGCTCACAGACACACTCACACGCTCACAGACACACTCACACGCTCACAGACACACTCACACGCTCACAGACACACTCACACGCTCACAGACACACTCACACGCTCACAGACACACTCACACGCTCACAGACACACTCACACGCTCACAGACACACTCACACGCTCACAGACACACACTCACACACTCACAGGCACACAGACACACTCACAGGCACACAGACACACTCACACGCACACAGACACACACACACACACTCACAGGCACACGCACGCACGCACACACACATTCACACACTCACTCACTCACACACTCACTCACTCACTCACTCACTCTCTCACACACTCACTCACACACTCACTCACTCTCTCACACACTCACTCACACACTCACTCAC